CAAGACCCAAAAAAATAAAGCAATACTACTTCAATGAATGGGCCAAAAGTAAAATGTTATAAGTAGAACCGAGGTGGTATAACACAATTAACAAGTTCTTTGAAAAAGTCCTATTCCCTCCCTATACAATGAGTAAAGTAACCCGATAATACAAACTGCATGACCACAGAACACTAGAACAAGGATTTCTTTCCCTAAAAAAATATGCAATTCTGGGTTTAAACTAGTTTCAACGAGATGATTTTGAAGATGCCCAATTGTCTTCTGCCAACATACTTCAAGGAATCTAAAGATGGGTTGTTCCCCATATTCGATAAATTGAAGAAAACTACAAAATTAAATGAATCTAGGTCAGTTCTTCTCCCCAACATACATTTGGTTAATGATAAATCTTACAGAGAATCTGGATAAAGCAAATCAAACGAAAATCATTCTTGTTTATCTATATACCACAAAGAAAACGAATCCAAATCCAAATGGTTGAATAGCATAAAACATTCCTGTTTATCCAACAAGCATGGCAATAAAAAAGAAAAAAAAAAAACTGAAGATTGCGAGGGTTTTTGAGGGAATTTCTTCAAATTCGGTTCAAAGAGAAGGTTCTTCAGTTCGAAGCAAGAAGAGAGAAGATTCGGTTCGAAGTGAAGGTTCACAGAGAAATGGCAGTGGAGCTTGCTTGCAAAGAGGATGACAGTGAACTCCTCCTCAGTTCGAAAATAGGGTGAATGACTTAATTTTTTAGGTTTTATTTGAAGGACAAATTGTTGTCATTTTTAATTTTTATGAGGATAATATGAATGGACTCTGAGCACATTAAGCACTTGCCCAACCATTTTCATTTTAAGATCTGAAAATGCATTTGAAACCTAATATTAAGAGGCACATCCAAACGGTTGTGGCATACGTCCGAATAGTGCAATGAAACGCCACCTAAAAGAATAATAATATCCATTTGATTGAATATTGGGAAAGGGTTCGTCTGTGTTAATCGGATGGATATGGATTTTATCGTGGGTTTTGATTGATCAAAATGCTTCCGGTAGGATGTCTCTCCGGCAAAATAGATTTTCCCATAAAATCTGCTTTTCTACTTATATGAATCCACGTCTTGTAAAATGGAGAGATGACAACTGACAACCCACTTAAGCCCACAAACTTGTTAGCCCATGTGACAACTAGTTTTTGGGGCCCAGGTTTTCCTTTACCTTTTTTATTATGAGTTAAATTTTAAGCCAAAAGATCTTTGGCACGTGTAAATGATAACCTATTTTTCAATTTCCTGCAACTGCCCTCAAAGGCCTATGAAAAGACGAGGATGCCCCCGAGGCAGCCACTTATCAAATACCAAGTGGGCTGAATAATTTGTTAGTATCAATAATAATGTTAAAATTATCTGATTATTCTGGTTTTGATGTAAACAAATGTTCTCAGCACATTAATGCTTTTACTTTTTAATTTATTCAAAAAATTGTAGCTACAACATCATTAAAACCATGTTGTTTTTGTTAATGTGGTAGTTGTGGTCGTTTTTAAAAAACAAAATCATTCATATATATTGACGAATGACGAATACCTCTCCTTAATGAGCTTTGTGAAGATCCTATTCAGTATGAGACAAAGGCATTTTGATGATACCAAATTCACCAAGTTAATTACCAACGATGCTGATCGATCGAATCGGCAAGAAAGGTTATCCAACTATCGCTCATTGTATCTCCAACTATTGCTAAAGCAACGAATTGGGAACAAAGTCTATCACCTTCACCTATTAATGCTGCTTCTTGTATTTCCAACTCTACTGTTACTAAGTCAATGTAATGACAACAAAGGTTGATCAACGTCTATATCCCTAAACATTGGAAAGTTCTCCCTCGGATGCATACCTCGGGACTCTCTGTCTTTCTTTTCTTGCAGGTGCCTACGGAAATAGCTCAGTTCATACTTGATACGACCTCCTCGGCTTATCCAGTTATCGAAGTCCTCCTTCTCTTTATATTGCATTGGCCTGGGCTTTCATGGCGAATTCATTAACAAAACGCCAACGTAAATCCACCCGAGTTGCACTCCTAAAAAGTAGTAAAACCATTTACGTATCCATTTTATTCCAAACACCACCCAAATTAATTACTCGAATGGGGTGACAACAACGGCAACCAACGAGGTCGAGACCCCCTGCCATCCTCCACACAAGCTTAATTATAATTAGCCTTTGACTATGATGGGGCTGCAAACGAGCCAAAAGCACTGTTCATTGGCACCTTCAAATAGCCAAATTGAGTGACATCATCAACAATGGCGACGTTATTTATTGAGAGCCTTATCCTCCACGTCTGGAAGAATATACATCATACACCAGTAAAGCCTGTCAATGTTGACGATGGGATTGTTAATTGTGGAAGTAGTGCATCTCAACCTTAACACCACCAGTAAAGCCTGTTTCATGGAAGTGTATGTCTCAAATATTTCCACGTTTTTTTTTTTTGTTTTGTGCCTTAATTTTCAAAGAAGTGGCCAAGTCTGGTTGTGTTTGTTTGCGGTCTAAGTATTGGACAAATGTAATTAAATGTTCCAGTCCGGTTTTGTAGCTAATTTAACATCAATTGATGTAAATGTTCCAGTCCGGTTTTGTGCAACTCCATCGATGTAATTGTACTTTTACACCACATTCAAATGCAGCCTAAAGAGTTCCATACGGGCCAATAGATCATAAGCTGCTGAATTGAAGAACTAGTTGGGTATATATATGTGTAGAAATCAGCAAAATCTTATTAACAAAACTCTAATCTAAATTTATTGCATGCAAAGGAAAGGTGGATTTGGGTTATCACCTCCTATAAAGTTCAAGATTCGTATACTTCAGTGTCAAATAGGGTGCTTACCAATTAGGTCTAGAGTTGGACTAGATTCCTATTGGATCTTGGATCAGAGAGAGGCCCATTTATGTTTGGGTCCAAGGTCCCTATTCCCTAAGCCTGCCTATCTGTGTATTGAAAAATCATTTCAGTAATGGGAGAAATTAATGTCTTAAAGTATATTATAAAGCCGATGATGGTCACTTGGCACCCCTCCAAATAGGAGGCACCATGGAACTGCAGGCTATCAGTGATATGGCCAGTGGGCCTCACATACACCCTCCCCTACCCCACCTAAGGTTCCTCTGTCCTGTAATGTGTAGACCGGAGAGAGAGAGAGATGGTACATTAATTAAGATTATGTTTGGTTTGAAGGAAAATGCAGGAAAAGATAAGAAAATCTTTACAAACCTTGTATAAGTTTCTGTCTTTTCCTTTCTTTCCTACCGTTTCCTTCAAACCAAACATAGCCTAAGTGGTATCCCTTGCCTTCATTTCTGTCTTGTCTTCATGACCATGAGAGAAAGTTTCTCTAACAACAGTTTCTTCGGTTCACTGGGTAGCAGGCCCATGTGTTCTTCTGTGATGAAGGAGATAGGATGTCTGGGGGATGTCGACTACTGATTTCTCCAGACCTTATTTGTACAGAACAAATTATGGCCCAAAAGACAATTGTCACGACATTACATTCATATTGAGTCCTTTTGGAATAAAAATGATTAAGACTTTGAACAACCGATATTAATTGAAAAAAAAAAAAATAATAATTCCAGGATAGGGAATAGGGCTGAATGCTGATGTTGTCTAGACGATTAAAAAAATGTGGCCAATCCAGATGGGCCTCTATTGAGTGTCCGTTTGGGAGGGTTGAAGCACAGCGGCTTCTGTCTTTCTAAGATGGCCCCCACACAGGCATTTAAGCTATGTTTTGATTTAAAAAAAAAAAAAAAATCCAGAGAGCCCATATTGGCTGTCAATTACTTATTTGAATCTTGCCCTCCCAAACAGGTCCTCAGCCACACCCACACCATCCTTTCTTGTGGCTGAAATAGGTTAAGTTATAGGTTTTATGCTGCATTAAGAATTTAGCTAATATCCAGATGGTTCTCCACTCAATGGGCCGTTTGAACAGTTGGATCATCCTTTCTCATTGATGAAACTGGAGAAGTTGTGTAGATTAACCTACTTGATCCGACCAGTGTTTTCAACCCGGTCATGATTCCGGTTTGATTCAACCTCTGACCTATTATGTTACAAAAACCCATTAACTCTGTCCTTTCAGATGGTTGAACTGTAGATGTGTTTAGACCTATTCATGGGCCAGGTAGCCCGATGGCCCGGCCCAGCTCACACCCTGGTCGGGTTTGGTCATGTAATTAGGCCCGTGGGCCTGGCCTCGGGCCTAACACAGTAAGCCCGATTGTGTTTCGAGCCGGGCTCGGGATTTGTCAAGAAAGCCCAGCCTGGCCCGACTCAGCATTATATATTTTATAAAACACATAATATATTATATAAAATATATAAATAATATAATATTTATTGAAATATATATATAATTTAATATATACATTTTTTATTTTTTTTCTTTATAATTTCTCTCTCTCTCTATTCAGCCGCTTCAGCAGTAGTAACAGCATGGGCTAAATTTCGGGGTCGGGCCCAGACCTGGGCTTCAAGCTTTTTATGAGGGCCGGGCTCGGGCCTTAAAAAAATCTGTTAATACAGAGTGAAAGCCCAACCCGAGCCCGGCCCGACCCATGAACATGTCTAGACCTGTTCATGAATTTTTTATTTTATTTTAATTTTTTATATTAATGACATCATGAATTGATCCATCCACCCAGATGGTTCAACCACTGACCCATTTACTTAGAGGGAAAAAACCATTCTCTCTCTCTCGTACACACGAAAGTTTCTCCATCTCCCACCATCCATTCCCATGTCTGGCCTCACCTTGCCCTGCTTCTACCTCTGCACAAGAGACAGAGGATTAATTGTAAATTTGTAATTATATGTAACATGTGAAGCTTCGTGGAAACCACAGCCTAAACCAGGCCAAACATGATAAGAAACACGAGTTACTCATTTTTGTTGATTTACTCCACAAGTAGTACGAGTTATAAGCAAAGTCACCACAATACTTGTATATGATTCAAATATTTCCAAGTGAGATAGATTATGTCAGCTATTGAACTAACCTTACTAACAAATAGCAGCAAGCTAGCAATGTTGGCTGGGGTTGTTCCCAAAACTGAAGTCAATCAGACCAAAACATGACGTGATCATACAGCTCCAAATGGCTTAAAAAAACAGGAAGAAGAAGGGGAAAAAAAAGCAAGCAAGCAGAGCTCACTAATGGAGATCTATTGGCCTTAGCACCGACAAGCAACCCAACAAAAACTGAAAAACAAAGCAAAAAGGAGAAATCCTCCACTTAATAAAATCTATAAAGCCTGCAGTAGTCGTCAGACAGGACCCTCCACCCAAAGTCATGGATGAAATATTTTGTGCAGCTAATGCCAGGGAAAAGTTGATAGCCTAGATTATTAGGTAAGAAGTATTATCTCTCTTTGATTGATCTTCTCCAAGTGTTCTCCTTTCTTTTTGTTGATTTATTGATGATGGGAATATTGACATGGTATTGACCAGAAGAAAGAAGAGGAGAGAGAAATTAAAGGGAGTAATAATAACTAATAACAATGTGATGAGGTGGGCATGGAGGATTAAGAGGTGGCAATGCAATAGGGCTCCCAGATCAATAGTGACCTTCTGGGCTCTCTGCAACTCGCCAAAACAGGAACCACATAATCTCCCTTGTTACCCTTCATGAGCACCATCTGTGGCTGCTCGTTGGGCTTGTAATTCTTGGACAGAAAGAAGTTGTTGTTTATGTTGGTGCCGATGGGTGATGGTGGTGGTGGAGGTTTTGATAGCGGCTTCATGGTTGCCGTGGCAGCCGGCTTGGTCCGCCAGCAGTAATCGTAAGAGTTAAAAGTGGCCGCTGCTGCTGCCGCCGGGGAAGGTATCAGACGGGCCACCATTGGCTGTGTTGGGAGTGACTGTGGCAGTGGAGATGGCTCCAGCTCCTCCCCAAGATCAACAATCTTGCCTAACTTGTGAGACCATGTTGGGTTTCTATTGGTCAAATCCATGAACTTATTCATGACAAGTGCTGACCTGTGTACGCTTATCACTCCAGATGGCAGCTTCTGAGGGACCTGGCTTACCTTCACCTCCATCACAAGTCCCCTGTCACTCACCTCTTCCTCAGCTCTCTCAGTCTCTTCTTCTTCTTCTTCTTCTCCTTCGTCTTTGTCAATTTCTTCAAACTCTTCTTCATCCTCTTCTTCGCTCAATTCTTGCTCTTCTTCATCGATTATCTCTTCCTCGTCGCTGTAGAAGACGTCGATTGGTGTTCCATGGGCTGTTGTTTTCTTGGCGAAGCTGAGGAGAAGGCGCCCGTCTTGGCGCTCGGCGTGGAAGTAACTCTGAGAAATGACGGGGACGGCCTCGAGGACTAACCGGCCGTCTTTGCGATGAGATCGCATGTAGACGGACGAGCCGTCCCGACGAGAAAGAGAGGGAAGTGGGGGAGGGAACGATCGAGGGGGTGATTTCCTACTAAAAGAACAATTGTAATTTACAGCTCGGAATTCATCTTTATCTACAGTTTGTGATTCCTCAACCTTGGTTCTGTCATCTTCTTGTTCTGTTTCTTGGCTCTCTTCCAAGTCGCCGGACTCTGATGGTGGGTAGGAGGAAAACCCATCAGAACCCGTCTCGGATCCCAGGCTCTCGGTGCAGATTTCCAGACTCTTCTCACTCAACGAGCTGGCAGATCTTTTCACAAGTGGGTGGACATAAGGAGCTGCACCAGACGAGGCTTTCTCAGACTTCTGTGACAGAATTGAGCTCCAGATATCGAATTGCCCCGGCCTCTCGAGGTCCTTCTTCTCCTGTTCGGATTGGATTGAGTTCCAGACATCGAATTGTCCTCCAGCTTGAAGCTCTTGTTTTCTTTCTCGTTCTTCCTCATCATCATCTTCCTCCTCCGACGACGATGAATCAATGATGGATGCAACAGGGAACCTCTCGGAAGATGCAGTCTTCTTCAAATGGGAGAAGCCATGTTGAGCCAACCACGACTTGGAAGACATGTCTGCTGATAGTGTCCTCCTCAACGAAGGGGCCGTCTTGGGTGGTTGGCGGTCAGACCCAAGAATGGATCCAATCCCCTGTCGCTCAGGAACCATGGCCTCTTCCTCCATTCGCACGGCAGCCGACGACGATCGCTCGAGGCCTTTGCCAACCGAAGTCGACATCTCTGGCAGTCCAGTAGAGAACCCAGAGACAGAGGGAGAAAGCTGCCTTCACTCTGCAGGTACGTACACACAGAAATGAGAAAAAGAAATCAACCCAAGAAAGAAAACTAAAATTTTATACTCAGATTCTCAACAAACACAAGCACACCCATCAAAGCTTTCCTGCTGCAATCAGAATGGTGGGAGTGATATGATTTAAATTTTAAACAGGAGAGCTGGAGCTAGCTTTGAAGGAGAAAATGCCTACCTCAAACCAACAACACCACCATCCAACAACACAGAGAGGGACAGAATAAGCTCAAGCTTTGAAGGATTATTGCTCGGTGATTGTGTGCGTGAGAGGGCGATGAAGATGAAGAGGCCGTGGCCGATAACAAACTGAAGGGGGAAGGGAGCTATTTATAGTAGCAGAAAAGCCTTCGGAACCGTGTCCATGGGGTCCACTCGCACCACCACCAAGAAAAGATTAAAGATGATATTTTTTTATTATTAGTATTTAATTTCGAATTTTTGAAGAGAAAGGGGAAAAGGGGTGACGACTGAGGAGATAGAGGAGCCTAAAGACCCCGCTCTCCATCACTTACTAATTAAGCTAGGAGGAGAGAAAGCCAGAAAGGCAGAGAAACAGGGGAATCCCAAATTCCCAAGTCCCAACATGATTGGGCGGCCATGAAGCGGAGGAGAGGGAGAGGGAGAGGGAGAGAGAAGAGAATCGTTGAGATGAAAACCATATAACAATTAAAATATATAAGGCAGGAATAATGGGAATGGAAACAATGGAACACGTCACGTTCAATATTGGAATTGGCATTCTAGCTGGGAAAAGCCCAGTGGGCAATACGTATGTTAAAGCAGTGCCCACGATACGTCCTCCACTCACTCAAAAGGTGATGATGTTGATCAATTTAAAGAGTGCAAGAGAAAGAGAAAGAGAGAGAGTTAAGGGAATATATATATATATATATATATATATATATATATATAATTTTCTTTAATTAATACAGAGAGAGAATAGAGAGAGAGAGGTAGAGAAAAACCCTTGTAGCACAAGAAAGCAATATCCACTACTTCTTCATTGCTGTGTATCGGCTTCTGTCAGTGCAAGGCCTGTGTGTTCGAACAGCCTTTACAGCATTGCATCCGGGTTTCGAGGAAAACAACAGAAACCCGGATGCGGATGCGTTTGTCTGCTTAGAAAGCAAAACCACCACTAGTTGGTAATGGGCCAAAGCTGGTGAATTAAGCCCATGGATCCACTCCCCACCATGGTTATTAGGTACAATAGCTCCCTTCCCCCCCCCCCACCCACCATGTTTGTTAATAAGATTAGATTGTGTTTTGATAAGGATGGAAATGGACATGGGTGCATTAGGGGGCCATTTTGACAAGTTTCTAGATTCCACAGTTTGGTTCTAAATCCCTAACAAATTTGCTGATTTCAATTCCTTCAATTCTACATTTGCTTTGTTTTTTTCTCTTTTTCTTTTTCTTGTTAAATGGGTATCATTTGAATTCCTAGTGCATAGGAGATTCCAGCTCTATAAAATATTCTTGGTCAGGACCGGCCTAATCATGACCCCCAAGAGTGGTCTAGCATTTTTGTTATAATTTTTTAGTATTTTTCGTTAACCAAGGATATTATTATTATTTTTCCTTTAAATTAATTTACTATTGTTTTTGGGCAAGTATATTTTAAATCTTAACCTTGTTTGGACGTAAAACTTCTATGATAACTTGGGCATAAATTGCTTGTCCCCCACCATTCTCACCCCCTTTCTCTTAAAGTTGCTTTAGCAATGTTTTGGGCCTCAAGTTTGACCTTCTTTTGCCAATATTGGCTAAGCAAACCATCCAATGAAGATAGAATGATGAATAAGTTACAACATTAACATTAACTTGTTGGCTGTAGAAAGCGACTCAAGTGGCTGAACTGAATTACTTACACTTTTTGTCTTAGTGGATAAAGTGGTCATACATTAAAATATTTTTGGGAATATATAGTATAGTGAGTGTGTTTGGTTGGAGGAATTGTTTTGTCAAAACCATAAACATGTTTGATAGAAATATGTTGATGAGACAATTTGAGAAGCAATCTCCTCCAGTCAATTAAAAAAAAAAAATTGTAAGGTACCAACCCACTGGTTGGTAAGGTCTCCTGTTAGTTGCAGCAGAGACTTGGTATCGAATCCTGCTTGCACCTAGATTAAGGGTTATGTCGTTATGGTTGGAGGATGGGTTACCCCCTTTGTGTAACCCTTGGTACCAAAAAAAATTGAAAAAAAAAAAATCAACCCCTGATTTGAGAAGCTATCTCCTAATAGCAACCACCTCAAAAAGCCAAAAACCGTGCATGAAAACCCTCCCAAACGGGTACTAAGTTTTTAAGGAGGCTGTGTGCTTCTGATGCTGAAGTTAGGTAATTACCCTACCCTAGAATATTTTTTATATAAAATTATTTATCTACAAACAGACAAACCTACATGTTATTCAGTTATCGTTTTATTAAGTTTGGTGACGGATATTATAATTTTTTTTCCATGGGAACAAAAGATTCCAATCCAACAGATTTAGCACAGGGTCCATAGGTTTGTGACCCAGGCAATAGAAATTATATTCACTTCTTGTTCCTTTAACAAAGACATTTCAAAGGATTAGAATAATCCTGGTTGTAACGCAGGTTAGCAACAACAAAGGGGGAAGCTTCATGGACATATATACTGGGCATAGGTCGCTAGCAGCTCCTTATCAAGACCGCATATCCTAGGTTTCCAAGTTTGCTTTGCACATTTTAGGAAAATTACTGGATGCTCAGTTAATATCAAGGCCCATCCCTGGAATTCACTTTTTCTCCTTTTTTAATGCTCCTTTTTGACGGTGGATAATAATGCCACGTTACTCATATTATGATGAGAAATATTAAGATTCTCTCTAATATGGGCGACATGGGGCTTTGTTACTTGTTAGCACGGCCAAAAGGAGCTCAAGTATATATATATTTGGTTTTCTGGTCCCCTCAGGAGTCAGGAGTCAGGACCAGTTTTACAAACTTGGAGACTAACACATCAATCCTATCTTGAGGACCGTGCCTTGTTAGCCTAAGAAAGATCCCATACTTAAAATCAGCTTTTATTAAGGTTGTGTATGGTTTTGTTTTTTCAAATCAAAATCAATGTTATAACATTGGTATTGCACAGTATGACCTCAGGTTTCATAGTTTATTAATTAACACTTATTATGAAAAAAATTGCAATTATTTTATGTCACGTGGTATGCTTTTGCTGATTATCCCTTGAACATCGGTAAAATCATATACATTCCAATCATTGATGTAGCAATTAAGGTTTTAAGTATAGATACGTCTGATATGTTCGTAGGGGCGTATTAGTAGTATTGATACCTTTTTATTTTTTATTATTATTTTTTTTTCAAATCGGATTCAGGGGGCTGGTTTAAGATTCCTCCACCCCTGAATCGGTCAAAACCCCAATACACCTTATGTAGGGGCATATCGGATTGTTCCCTATACGTGCTGATTTTTTGAGTCTTGGTAGTATTTTTTTTTTTGAAGAAGGAAAATTTTATGATGCCGAAAAAAGTATGCATGATATCAGAATGATTTTGACCAATCAAATCCCCCGTGAATTTTAACAAAAATCCACCTAATTAGTTATTACTTTTATGATGCCAGTTGATTCGTAATAAGTTTTGGGGATACGCAGACTGCACTCCACCTTAGAAATCTGAAATTACATCCCCTCCTACTGTGCTAATAGCCCTCTTATCAACCGCATCCTGGCCGTGGATTTGACATCAATCCACGGTCATCATTCATCCCACCTGTATGATAGACCTAAGATTTCTAAGGATGGATTAAACAGTAAAAATCCCATAGTTTTTCTGGTATTATGTTTTTTTCCAGCATAATAGTCAAACCTACAAATGTAGTGTTGGACAACATGGTTAGTTCTGTTTATGAAAACCCAAAAAAAAAAAAAAAAAAAACTGCCACATTAGCAAAATTACATTGTTTTTACTGACATAATAGTTGTTTTACTTTTATAAATAAAATCAATCATGTTGTCAATCACCCCCAAAATCATACACGTCATACTTATCTTGAGGATGATGACCAAGCCTTGTTACCTCAAGAAGTGAGATCAACATTTTTCACCAATGTGTATGATTCTGCTTTTTTTTTTTCAAAACAAAAACAATTGCCACATCATAAAAAATATATTGATTTTGATGATGTGGCAGTTGTTTTTATCTTTTGAAAACAAAACTAATCATCTTTCCCAATCCCCCTTTAAAGTGGAATTCTTGATTTTGTTTTAACACCATTAAGACATCAGCATAATCATGCACAATCCAATTTCAATTGCGGATGTGACAATTGCTTTTGTTCTGAAAAAACAAAATCATACACATTGCCAAACACTACGTGGGTTCACATCACTCGATCAAATCCTATTTTCAACATTCCAGTGACAAATTGCCAATGATTTTCTATTGCAAACAATAATTTAGATAATAAAGATAAATCTGAAAAATAAAATTCCTCGTAGACTTAGGGGATCGATGTTTGTCAGTATGTATGATTTTGCTTTTCAAATTAAAATAAAAATAATCACTATATCAACAAAAATAAAATCAAAGATATTGACAACACCCCAAGAAAATCCGAATTCAAGTGTGGAAAATTGGAAAGATTATTAAATGATGCTGCAAATTAAGACAATAGTCCCTGGTTAAAGAAAGGGATGGAATTCCAGGCAGGCTTCTTATGGCGTCGGGATCTGCTATGAACACAAGTGTACAAAATGGGCTATGGAGAAAATTATGAGCTAACACATCAGTGTTCTGTAGGCATGCCTTACCTGCAGGGAACATTGACTGTTCACTACATAATCTGTTTAGCATCCCATACCTTATTCATACGGAACTCTGGTGTGTTCAGTAGTATGTAGCCCATTTTACATGTTAGTGTTTGCAGCAGCATATCCCGTCGCTCCTGTTTGTAGGGTTTTTTACATGGGTGGTCACATTAGGGAGTGTTTGCTAATGAATGCAAATGGTTTTGTTTTGAAAACAAAAAATAATATAAATTTGCTTGTGTGGCTGTTGATTTTGCTTTAAATACCACTTGAATTACAAATGAAAATATTCACATTGACAAATAGCCCTTAATTACACAAGGACCGGTGTCAAGTGGATCCTAATACCAATGCAATAAGAGATTTAAAATGGATGCATAAGAAACACTAAACCTATATTTGGTTTAAAGGAAAAATATGTACAAACCTTGTATAGGTTTGTGAGTATGTGGAATTGGAATCTGAGTATGTGGTCAGCACCACTGCACGAGGATGTAAAAAAGGCTCTAATCCAAT